AAATATACAAATAGCCATGTCAGACCTATATGTGCTTGTATGTCTATTCCCATGCTCTCTCCCACACCTCTTCAGCCTGTGTGTCTACTCATGCATCTAGTCAATGCTCATCTTTATTGAGGATTTTTTAATATATAACAGTATGTACTTGTTACCTTTCATTCTTTTTGTTTCTAACGTTTTATTGTGAGTTGGGTGATTTCGCAGAGCAGATCATCAGGTTCACAGGCAATAATTCATACGTCTTTTGTTTCATCTCATTCATTGCAGTCCTCTCACTTAGCCCACTTCTTCTCTGGGTTTCTTCTTTCTGTTTCTCGTGCTTTTACCATTCCTCCTTCTTTCTGCAGGGTTGACACCCTCTGCCAGTCAAAGAGCTCATGGGGCAAGGGGAAAGGAAAGGGTGGTCAGAATTCCTGCTGACCTGGATATTTTCTGTATTCAGGGACCCTGGCCTAGAAATAGTTCATGCTGGGTCAGAGGGGGGGATGAACTCAGGGTGTTTGTTCCTGGAAGAAACTCTTTCAGGCTGAGAGAATAGCTGAGGTCAAGGCAGTTGGTTATGGAAGGAGCACTTGCCCACCCACAAGTGGCCAGGGACTGGCACTACAAGTCTACTAGTCTGATGAGACGAACTTCATACAGTGCCTCTACACACTCAGATGGTTCACCAGAAACCCGATCCACCAGGGTGGAGCTCCACCTTAGGCAAAGGGTGTGGGTTGGACAGGGGTGGGATGTTACCAGTGCTGCGTGGGCCAGGGTGGGGCTGGCCACACTTCTGCTCATCAGGAAGATGTCGGGAACAAGAGAGGAACTCATCTTTCTTGTAGGCAACCCCAGTGTGTGGGCCTCTGTGTTCAGGATTTCAAAGCGGCCACCCCTTGTTGGACCGCCAATAATTCACCTATCTTCTCTCTCGCTGACGCATTCAATTTCTGCCCTCACGTGGTATTCAGGCCACTTCTTATCATTTTGTCTGAAAGTCAGGTTCCAGAATTACACCCCATATATGTGTGTCATTTAGTCTCTGTGTCTTCATTGTAGAGGGACTATATAGCATGTCTCTGAATTCTTTATTTGAAAAGCTTTGTTTCTTTTCTATAATCCATGAAATAAGAATTTTTATATGGAAAAACATATTTTAAACATACTTCTTCACCATGTAGTTTAGAATTTAGTGTCTAAATGATATAAAAACCAACAAAACTGTATATTTTGTAAAGTCATGCATCTTGAATCTAGGACTCTAAATTTTTATACATTGATATCCTTGACTTTGACCTCCCCCAATTTCCAATTTTCTAGATTTGGGATTGGAATAGAGACTTGGCCCACTTTAAACTTGTGGTGGACGGAATAAGCAGTTGACATGTAGGGAAGGCTGCACTGAGGATGAGAGAATGGGACCAGCCAGGAAACTAAAATCCAGGTTTTCCAGCCATCTAAATGCTCAGAGATCTTTCTTCCTTCTGAAAAAGATTGTCCAGCATGTCTTTATTGAATATTTGTCAGACAGTATTTGGAACAAAGTTAAGGCTCTTGTCTCTAGTAAAAATATACACAGCTGTTATCTTTCAAAATCAACTGCATAGCAGTGGGTTTGGTTTGGGCTTTAGAATTCTGAGCAAAGACGTCCTGGTGTCGTCGTGCATTGAGCATTGGGTTGCTAACCTCAAAGTCAGCAGGTCAAACTACCAGCCACTCTGCAGAAGAAAGATCAGAAAATATGAGCCTGTAAAATATTTACTGTCTCAGAAACCATATGAATGGTTGCTGTAAGTAAAAATTGACTCAGTGCCCATGGGTTTTCAACCACCGAGAAGGAGCCTTCACCACATAGTAGATTATGCATTGGACGGTGTGTTAGGCTCAGGTTCTAGAGAAATAAAGCCAGTTACTCTCATATGTTTAAGAAAGGACTTTATGTGAAGAAAGAATTTCATATCATAAAGACTCTTAGCCAGCAGATGGACATTGGGCCTCTACTCAAGTACTTCCTCAACACAAGAACACTTTGTTCTAGTAATCTAGCACTCTGAGATGTTCACTTTCCCAACACGAT